TCAAGGTCCTATTATAAACCTGATTTAGCTTTCCTGGAGTTTAGAAATCCCTTGTCGTGCTGTGGGTCTCATTGTTCTCTTTGGGGTTCTCATCACAGGCTTAAATTATCTTGGAGTTAAACTAGCCAAATATATTTGGACTTAACTTATTTGTAATTAGGTTTGTAGAATAAATTTTAATTTTAGATTTTTGCAAAATTGTTCCATGGATTGTAGTTATGAATTTAATAAGTTCTGAGCCTTGTGTATTTGTGGGATCCTCTTACAAGTGTACGACGTTTGTTTCGCCCTTGGATTTGGGTTCTAGGGCATGACATAAAGAAGGATAGAAACACAAGAATTATTCTAAAACATGATTTTATTTCTAAGAAAAGAAAGGGAAAGTTCCCTTTCCTCTTGAAGGGTGTTTATAGATGCATAGTAAAAGGCTTTTAGGTAAGGTATTTAGATATTCAAATTCTCGATCCCTGTTACAGCTTATAGGAGGCTTTTTATAGCGCTCCTTAGAATCTTTTCTTTCATCATTACTAATGATTAAAGTTTACATTATTGTCTAATGATCCAAACTTACTTCTTGCTTTTGCTAAAGAAGATTACATGGAATCTTGCAGATGCCCTTCTTTTTCTTTAGTGACTAAGCCTTTACTTTTTTTTTTTTTTTTTTTTTTCAGAGGATGATTAGATCCTCTTCACTGTCTGAAGGGGTGGTCCCTTTGTCACATGGGGCTTTAGCTTTTTCTTTCGTAGATTATTTTTTGTAGCAAAAACCACAATGGTTGTCATGCTTTAATAGCTTGCATAGTCTATTATGGACTGCTTTACTGGTTATGACCAAATTTTTAAAGATTTCCTTTCTTTTCTGCTTTATTTTGAACAAGCTGATGTTTGTCATTAATCTTGCACCAGTGGATACCACCAAGATTTCTTTGGAGAAGCCATATGTCCATGTCTTCCTCATCTCTATCATTTTGTCAAAGTTTTGGAGTAAAACCTTGAATCCTAGAGCTCGTCTCTTTTGGATGAACTCGATCCCACAAAGAGACTCTTTAAAGTCCTGAAAAATTTGATCTTCATTCGCTTCTACCTTGATTTTCTTGGACTAGATTCCAATTTGAACTACATGATGACTGGGGAAATATTGAGATTTCTCCCATTCTGGTGCTGTAGAGTAGATTTTGACAAATACTACCCATTGAGCTTTGGTGCCAATTTTGAAGTCTTTCACTCATTGGAGTATAACTTCTGGAAGTTCTAAAACCTCTTTATTATCTTTTGATAGATAAATACAATTTACAAAACCATAATCGATAAACTCTTTTATTGCTTTTGGTGCTTTGAAAACCAAATCTAAGGAGGAAAAAAAATTAAATCTTATTATATAATTTTTTATATAATTTTTACATGTTATTTTTAAATAATTAAATACATACAATATTACAAGTCATAATAAAATAGAAAAAAAAATCAATTATTAAATAATATGCAATATTATAATAAAAAAAAATTTAAAAATAAAGATAATCTCTCAATCATTTTCCCATTTCTTATTGCCAACTCACCCTTAGTTTGTCATTCTTTCTCTCATTTCCAATCACGGGTTTACATGTGGCATGCCAATTCATCATACAAAGCCAAACGTGATCCTTAACTCCCTCAATTTGTTTCAATTTCTGCTTATAAAAAAAATCCTCAATTTAATTCTTAAATACATAAATCCTCAACATTTAAACATAAAAGAAAATTATTATTCCTCAACATTTTTCCTTGATTTGTGTTTACTTATTATGGTTGTTTTGCCATCATCTCTAATGATATGTTAGACTAGTTATTAGTGACAAGAAAATTAGTAACAAATTGTATTCAATGTTTAGTATTAGTGATAAAAAAATTAGTTTTTATTTGTCTCATCCAATTACAACATCATAAAAAATTAGTTTCGATCAACTAATTAGTCACAAAATATATTTAATCACTACTAGAAAAATGACTAATTCAAACCGATCATATATGGACGAATCATGTCGGTCCATATAAATAACTATTCTGACCAATATCGATCTGAATATATTAAGGTGGTACCAAATCCATTAATCAAAATATTCAGACCGGTTTCAATCCGTATATTTCTGGCGAGAATTAACAGTGCAAATGTGCCAATAATATTCAGACCGCCAATAATATTCAGACCAAAGACGGTTTGAATATTTTTTTTGTAAAAAATAAATATTAAATAACAAAAATTAAGAATAAAATATTATTTAAATAAATATATACGGACCAAAATCGGTTTGTATATATCACTCAGAAAATGCTGAGGTTCATTTAATATTTGGATTGATTTCAGTTCGAATATCCATGAATATTATGACCGAAGATGGTCCGAATATTTTTTCATAAAAAGTCAATATTAAATAACAAAAATTAGGAATAAAATATTATTTAAATAAAGATATATGGACCAAAATCGGTTAGTATATATCATTAGCAAAGTGCCGAGATTCATTTAATATACGAATTGTTATCGGTCTGAATATGTATCATATACTGACTGAACTCGATCTAAAAATAGATGTCAAAGATTCCCTGAACTAATGAGACGTTGGGGTCCACTGCCAGATTTATACGAACCGATATCGGTCCGTATAAGGTTGCATGTAGCCTTTATCCTCTCAGTGCCCATCCCTTCCCCTACTGCAATCTATCTGCTATTTTCCTTTGTTTTTTTCTTCCTTTTTTCTTCCTTTATGCTACAAGCTTCTCCTCCTCCAATCTAGTTTTTTTTTTTTTGACAACCTAAAAAATTTTTTT